ACAAACCACAGATGTTTAATATAACGATTGTCAACAAGTTGATAATTTCAATATTTCTCTACTCTCGAGGCATGTTGGGTACATTACTGGACATGCCCACGTAACGTTCAATAAAATTTCAATATTTTTTCTTTAATATTATCAATGCTGATAATAATAACTTATGAATTTAACAAACATGCTTTAAGAAGTCAAATTTGAAATCGGTTTAAAAACCAAAAAATTAATTTACAACCATATTCATCTAAGCTATTTTCTGTGTTCAATTTGTCCATTGCTAGTCTATACCAAACTACACATAACCAACCTATTCCATCCATTCTATACATTTAATGTTTAGCCCAAATGTAATTTATTAGGAACATTGGACATTGAAATGGGTCAACAAAGTCAATTCCAGGCCCAATCCCATGAACAACTGAGAAGACAATGTTTCTTCCACTACACTGCCCCATTTTCACTTTTAATTCTGATACTCACAAGCAAAAAGGTAATTAATTTAACATTTTTTATTTTTTATTCCAATGATTTAGTGATTTTTTTTTTTTTTTGGCAAATATTGAATTAAAAATAGAAATTTAATTTTTAGGTTTATTGATTCGTGTAATTTGAAACTTAAATTGGATTTGTGATTTAGCCCGTACGAAATGTAGTTTTCGATCCGTTTGGGTGAGGACTGGAGCTGCTGATATTATTGTGTATTGTGATTGTACGGTTACTTTTTTGGGTGGAATTTTTATGGATTTGGAAAAAGTGCGCATTTCAGAGATTTCTGTGTATTTTTATGTTGTCTTATATAGAGAGTACAAACATAATATTGTTGGTTTATATGTTAAGATTGTACTATGGATACTACTGTCAGAAACCTGTGCTAAATGGGTGGAATTATATTTTGCTAAATATCTATTCTAATGGTGCTAAGTCACGAAATTTTTAGTTCATTGGGATATCCTATACATTATCCTTAACCCAATTGAAGTTCATGTTGTAAATAGCAATTTAAATTTTTGTTTTTCCAGAGGCTGTTTCTCCACAATCATCTTCACTCTTTGCTGAAATTCCCTGTAGCTGTGTAGGATGTGTAGTGATGACACTTTCATGAATTGATTTCCCAGGAAGAGCCTACTGAAGAATGGCAAGCACTGTGGATGCAGTAGGAGATCCAGTTCCCAATTCACCCGTCCTGATGGCATCATGGAAACATATATCAACCAATTGTCGTAATGAGAATTTGGCCTTCCTCAAATGCAAGAAGGCTGAGGAAACCCTGAGAAATGCCTTGACAAAGGCCAACAAGTTACGCACTGCGTGCTTAGCCTGTAAGTAAAATTTCACCTGCATAAGCTTAACAGACTTGGGAGTGTTTCAAATTTTTAATATTGTTCAGCTGTCAAGTTCATAATCAATATGATCTGGACTTGTCCGTGAACCATTATGGTAGCTATTGGAAATTATGGCTTTTTTTTCTAATTATTAATGAAGTGTCTAAATTTCCAATTGAAGTTGTAACAATATTCTGGAAATATGATCACTTCTTTTTGGTCAATTGACAGCAAGTAAAAGCTAATTTTGATGCAATCTCCTGTCTATTCTAAGTTACATTGTAATATATTAGACATTGAAACTAATCCTGCTACTATTTTGTGATTTGGTTGTCTTTTAGGGGAGATAAGAACCTGGGTTTAAACTTGCGTTTGACACTAGGTTTGTTTTGTGATCTAATTTTACTTTTTTTCTTCGAGAACTCAAAACGAGTGGGATTCAAAATTTACTGTAATATATATTCATATTACTATACAAGCACTTAGAAGTCCTCAAGTAGTTAATCATTTTTGAAGTTGGATGCGTCAGAAGCAAACTAATTACTCATGAAATTCTCTGGGTTATGACTACTTGGGAATCCCCATTTCACAATTTGTTGAATTTATTTTTCACAAGGTTAGAATATCCTCGCGTACAGACAAAGAAGACGTCTTCGAATTAGTCACCTTTTTCTCTTTTTCAGTAGCCCTTTATATTTTTTTATTTTCTTATGTGGACTGTTCAGGTATAATGGGAGTCAGAATATACTGAATTTGCACATTAGAGGCATTGTGGTCTCAATTAATTAGAACGTATTTAATCATATGCATTCCATTTGATAGGTCACCTCCTGTTCGAAACTATGTCCATTTATAGCCTCAGTGGTGTTATATATCAACCCCAACGTGAAGAATAGACATGACCAGGTGACCAGAGTAGGATGACATGCAAACATATCTAGTATTAAGAGAGTATAGACATGACCAGGTGACCAGAGTAGGATGACATGCAAACATATCTAGTATTAAGAGAGGACAAAGAATGCTGAAGACTCATTACAAACCTGGTCCTTAAAGACAATCCTGAAGCTATTGCTTCATGTATTAGAACTCTTGCGTACCAGAAAGCCGTCGTTTTTATATGGTAAATCGGCTTCCCGAATGTGAGTTTACAAGGACATTAAACTCTCTCGGGTTGCTCCACTATAATGTGATCTGGTGACAGGAAAATTCTGGTCTTTGTTTTTTCTCAGGGTTGGTGTTTGTATGATGTTGGCCTTTAGTTTGCATGTTTGCTCAATTACTCTCCCTCATTAATATCTCGAGTTGCACAGCCAAGGTCCATTGAGAAGTTACAAGCTCCTTATAATGTTTGCATATTCATTTCAGGGTGGATTGAATTTAGTCAACTAGACACACATCTGGGTTCAGATTCAGTTTCCACCTTCTTGTAGACCTCTTATTCTTCTCGCCATTAATCCATCCTCTGTCGGTCCTGTGTTTCCAGCTGCCGTTCCTTGAATATTGATGTTAACGAACCACAAACAGGAGGGGTCTCCATTTAATATGAACCACACCTTTGGGTGCTTTTCAACTGTCAGCGCAAGCTGCACTTCTTTCGGATTCTGTAGTATGGTACTGATTTGCCAATTGGTGTCTTGGAATTCCATATAGATGACTGTGAGGTTCCTTCAGTACCAAATACGTCGGAGTGCTTCAGAAAGGAGGACAATCCAGTTCAGGTCTTAGAAGTTTGATCATTTAGGGCACGACTTCCAAATCAACCCAATGTTGAAGATTTAAGTGTTTTCAAAATTAGCAAATGTTTGAACGTATTAGTGTTCTCCTGATTCTCAGACCCTTTTCTTTATGCACTATATTGTAACTGCTTCTAGGGCAATTCTTTTGGCCTGAATTTCACCCAAGAAATAACTTGACGTCCCATACTGCTGCTATAGGAAGTTCGACTAAAGAAAGTGTTACTTGAGGATATTAGACAAGATCATTATGCTGGTTGTCTTATAGGGTCCTACTATTCTCTTTAACTATCTCGTCAATTCTAGATTAATCGTACTGCATGGTTTTAAAACAAGAACGTTGAGTTCCTCGTATGGTAAGGAATCTGCTTACGCATTTTCTATTCAACCACTATGAATATGCGTGTTTAATCATGTGTGTTTCTGATTTTGTTTTTTGAATATTCAAATGATGATTGATATTAGGACTTCAATCACTGATAAAGATTAACGATTTTGTATTTGGGTTGCAGCCTGAAAGATCTCCACCAGAGGTGCAACAAAGAGCTGGATTCTTATGCAGGGTGCATGTATTACCACACGAACGAGTTTGAAATGTGTCGTAAAGAACAAACAGAGTTCGAGAAAGCATGCCCGTTTGATTAAACAACAAATGTACTCTCCAATCGTATAACGGAATAATTTCACCACATCTGCAACAAGTGGATTCTTATTTTGAATGTAGCTTTGATTAATCTGTTTCTGATTTGGATTCCACCATTCTGAATGATAAGAGATTTTCATGGATTTGCTTTTAAATGTCAAAGACATGCTAGCTCCTTCCTTTCCAATGTCAAGTGTTCATTTCTGGTATGTTTTACCATGATGTTTATTTGTATCGTTGAGTTCATCTTAAGACACCATACAATTCAAACTCTTTTAGGAAATGCATTTGTTACCATTTTATTTGTCCTAAAAATAACTTCTGAGGAGGATGCAATGCAAATATTTATCTACGTATGTTAAGATTGTAAATTTAACAAAATGCAATTTCGTTTTATTAATTGAAAATGCCATGTAATATTTAACAAATGTTTTAAAAAGAACACAATTTTAAAAAAAAAAGTTGAGTAACTATATTCACGTTTCACTTTTACTTGTTGCATCATATATATCAGAAATGATCTAATGAGTACCGATGCTCATCTTATCCTAAACACCGAT